TGATACCGGTATGATGCCATAAGCTATCGTACGAGTACGGTATGATAGAAGGCTCTTTCTCTCCCTCCCCCTCTCCTCCTTCCCTCTCCCACTCAGGCAAGGAAAGAGAAAGAAAGGAGGGAAAAGGAAAATAATAATAATAATAGCAATAATAAATGGGACGCTATCTAATGCATTACGGTAAATTTATCTCCATGATGCACGAGCTACAACGGGTGCGAGAAGGTGCGCTTTGCCGGTGCTCGCGACGAGTTCGCGCTGTAACTTGCCCAATACCCGTTATGGCATACTCATAATTTATCGACTTGAGTCAAGTTATGACTGTTTGGGGGATAATGTCTTAGACAATCACCTACGGTACACCAGCTATCGCTCCCACACAGCCCTCATTCAACCCGATCCAAGCCTCGGATGCGTTGGCACAATAACTCGTGCACACGGCTCGAGAAGCTCCCCCCCCGTGACCTAGACTACAAATTGAGAGAATTCCACCTCCCCCTTCTTCCGGTATTACCGTAATTAACAGTATTGCTCGCCATTTTCGTTCATCAAACCTGCTTTCCCCAAATCATACAAGGGGGTGGGAGAGAAAGACAACTCTGCTCTCCATCCCACTCGTAACTTAACGGGACCCTCTGGCTGGGTTCCCATAAACCCATGGCAATCCTAAGCCAAGAGCGACATGAAGAAGCCTACGAGTACTTTTCTCGTAAAGTTGTGGCATCCACCATAGAAAACCATAGGTGACAAGTTAGATTACGAGCAGGTATTATATACACACACGCCATACCCGTTACCCATCACAGACTTTCCCAGTACCGTACAAGTGCCGGTGTCGCATCCGCTGCCACAGGGCTCCCTAATTCTGGTTCGGGTTAAACGCACAGCGGGGCGAACCAGCAGCCGAGCATGGCCTTGCTTTCCGAGCCACCTTCCCCCACCCCACGCCCATTCTGACACTTTCGCTGACCCACAACTCCGGCTTCCTTTCTTCCTCTCTCCCCCCTCCATCTCGGGTTGAGTCTCATATCACGCTTTCCCCTCCTCTCGCTCACTCACTATTTCACCCTCACTACCGCTGCCGGTATCCCTCTCTTCCTCCCCTCTCTTCCCTCTCTCCCCTCCCTCCCCTCTCCCCGCCATCGGTAACATTCCAGCACAGGCGATGGCGCGGCGCAGGATGTCTACTTGTACCAACACTCCCTGGAGTACCCTATCCAAGTTTCCGAGGCCGGGCTCATGCCCCCCGCACCCGAACACTGGAGCGCCCACCAGTGCCGTGCTTTGGCCCACCTGGGTCTGGCAATGGTAACACAGCTGACGGAGGTTGCGTGGGCTGAGCCCCACAGACACTGGCACCAACTTACAGTAACAGTAACAGCTGTCGCTCTCCCCCCAAAAAGCAACTCCCACATCTGCCGTCATGACGATTACTCGAGTACCATTGCTTTGGCGCAATCAAGATCTGCTGGGCCGGGCAAGGGGTTTGCTTTTCCTCTGCCGATCTCGGAACTAAGTCGTCATGAGTAAGGCTACGGCATTTATCAGGAACCTGCCGTTCAATCAAGCGTGTTGAATTTCTAGACCGACCAACCCAATTGCTACCTTGTCCATCTGAGATGATCGGGGACCCCGCCCCCCCCCCCCCCTACCAGTACCGCGATCCTACCGCGGTACCCTTTACCCTCGATACCCCGACGCCGACATCACCCCCAACCCAAGATAACCCCGAGAACCCGACTCGTCAGCTTCAAGCCACCCCCACTATTTTTCAGCCACCCCATAGCCCGCGATCAATCGGACATGATGGAAATATCCGTCCCCTTTCCATCACCCGGAAACCTCGGTCTGAAGACAAATTCTCTCTGGGCCAACGTGTCCAGAACACAGTGCTCCTGAGGATTTAAGGGGGAGGCCATAACCGCAATACAGATATACGCCAGGGGGAAGCCTTACCCGGGGACGTGTTTCGTAATGATTCTACTTCCCCATGATCCTCCATCAACCCCTTCGACAGAGTATCTTGCATCAGATCTCTGGCCCAGCACCTCACCACGCACTCTTCCACCAAGGGGGCCGTGTATCATGCGTACTCCCGAACAAGTTCACAGCGAATGGCGGTTAGAAAAGTGTCCATCTATGCTTGACTCGCTTGCCCAAGGCAACTCAGGGGACGCTGATGGCAGGATATTCCCAGATTAACCATGAAGATCAATGGATGAAGGGCCCAGAGCGGGCAGCAGCATAACTTCCACAGATCGTACTCCACGTTGCACTCTGTGTGATTTCCTAACCCGTGGAGCTATCCCTCAAGATCTTTATAAGAAGGTTCGATGTTCACGCCCGGACCAAGCTCCGCATCACCACCTGCACACACGCACACGTCCTCGCTGTTCCACGAACGCAAAACACACACGGATAGAACGATAATGTGCCTGTATTACAAACACATATGGACCTGCGGCCACGTCAGGTATATCTTTGGGAAGCACTGCAGTTCTGGGTATCTATTTCAACGACCCTGTCAGGTGCGGAGTGTTTGGGCGAGCATCGATATGCCCGATGAGTGCCAAGGGTGTGGGATCTCGGCATGATTGTTAGGCTCCGGCCTTTGGCAGGGGATATACGGGACCGGCGGTCATTATGCTATATATCGACAGGCAGATTGTTGAATGCCACCACGACACGGTTTATGTCCCGAGGATACGAGCGATGGGAACGAACAAACAGCTGGGATTGTATTGTTTTTGGTTGATAGATCTTACAGAGGGAACCCGGTCAGGAAACTAGTTAGGGGCCTGGTACGATACTCGCGATGCTTTACGCCACCACTCTTTCCTTTGTATCTCCTAGAGTCAAGGCATTCCCATGATTTCCTCTGCTTGTTTGTCTCAATACAAAGTACTTTTTCTTTTTTCCTAAAGCAATCAACGTACCATTCCCTTCTCGTAAGGTGACTGTTGTGTGAGTGGGCCTGGGCCTGAGCGTTGCCTCCTGTTGTAAATGGCCCAGCCTGTGTGATAGAGAAAAGGAAGTTCTGAGGGCGCCCCCGGACTTCTGAAGCCATCCGGAATAGTAATGCGCCTGTAGCCCAAACGGAATAATCCTGAGCCAATCACCCCGTTTGCCCACATTTTGTTCACATTCCCAAGTTCACACCAACCCATGAACCACTCAAGTTCACACAGCTCGGACTGGGGACCCGGCGTTCCCAAATGAGGTCCTCTAACCAACGAGAGACCAGGAAGGCCGGAAACTGCTGTTGCGGTTACGAGTCCCCGGCTCACAGAAGCTCCCGGAAGTGAAGATAAGCCGCTACATATCATAACCCACAACTCCGAAGATGGAAAGGGGGTGGGGGGGAACTCCCCAGACTTTTTTACCCGGGTGCTAGCGTAACGGATCCCTTCCTAAACCCGACCGTTTGTGGTTGGGCGATTGCAGCTCGAAAACCCCAGACTCAGATGTGCTCCCCCCTCCGCTAAACAACCTCGATACACTCCCAACCCGAGTGACACCAAATGACAACCGACAAAGCCGGGTAATACCCAAGAAGGTATTACAGTATCATACAAGTACAACAACCCGTGGCTTGGATTAGGCTCTCACAAAAAAATCCAGACATCGCCGCGGGTGTACTGAGCAGGGACCAACGGAAAATCACCGCTCCACCGCCCACCGACGATCGCTATAGAAAAGAAGAGAGAGACAGAGGAACAAAATGGCGTCAAAAGCACTAATATCCTTCTCAAGCCTCCTCCTAATACACTCGTTCGTGCCCCCCTTCCCCCCCTTCCCCCCCTACCCCCGGCTCTCTTCCTCCCCTTCCAGGCTAACATCTCCGAAAAAAAAAAAAAAGTTGCTACTCCGCGCACGAACACTCTCTCCTAATGCCCACCACCACTTCGCTGCCACTGGACGTGGCGATCGAGACGATAGTCTCAGTAGTGCTGCTGTGTTTCGGCATTGTGCTAGGTAATCGTGAGGAGTTGAAGCCCATCTCCTGGAGCGTGTGGAGTGGCTTGCTGGAGCGGGAGAAAGGGTGTGGGCAGTTTGGCTATCTGGAGGAAAGAGTGGGCTTTTTGGATATTAGGGTTTGTTTGTTTTTCGCCCTTCTTCAGGGGCTGAGATCAGGTTGAGGGCGGTTGATAGGCTAATGAATGGTTTGGCTGTGGAATAGGCTAAGCGGGCCGAGTTCGCCAAATGGATTAAGGGTGCGGAGGTGGGTTCTTCCTCTCAAAGAACTTGATGGATCGAGTGGATTGGATTGGGCTGGGTTAAGATGGGTGGGTTAATGAATTGTTGAGTCGGGACGGGGTGCGATGGGACAGGAGCGTGGTGTTCATTCTGTACGATACGACAGGGCGTTACGGACCTTTCGGAAGGGTCTAAAATCAAGTTGGTGGAATCCGGGCACAAGTGTTTGCAATAGATATCACTTCAATATCACAAATATCCAGACCTTCAAACAACAATTTGCCCGTTCGGTCGTCTGTGCGAAAAATATATTTGTTTTGTTTTTCGACTATCTATCCAGGCTCCGTTTGGAAATATGATAATGATCCAGACGACTCCCTAGGCAAAACACCCACCGGCGCTCTACAATTTCTGCATAGCAGCGATCTATCCCCACTATCAGCAATCTAGTAACATGTGTACCATATACGAGGTATGCAAGGGGCTTACATCGGTGCTCTGGACGTGGTCCTCGTCACCCTCGATCTCCTGCTGCAGTTCGTCAAGAGAGACTTTTTCATCCTCAACAACCAAGTTGATCTGCAGCTTCTTGATACCAAAGCCAACGGCGACCAAGGTAGAGGCTCCCCAGACAAGACCATCTGTAAACCGTTGGTTTATGCATACTAAAAAATTGGGAATGATGAATCTTACCCTTCTCAATCGCTCTAACATTCTTCTCCAATTGGGCCTATTGAGAAGTTAGTATGAGCATGAAAATCGCTCGAGGAAAAACGTAAAAACGAACCATATCGGTAGTATCATCCCACGGCTTGACCTCCATGGTAACAACCGACTTGGCGGCTGATATCGGTTAGTAACAATCTTCCCAGCTAGGGGAGAACAGGCACATACCGGGCTTAGTCTTGCCAGCCTATTTCACACAATTAGCCGGAAAAAAGCATTCAAGATCAAAATAAAATAAAATAAAATAAACTTATAACACTAACAACTAGGATAGATATGGAAAACCCACCTTCTTAGCAGCATACTCCTCCAACCTCTTCTTGGTAAGGGCTTCCTTCTCCTCGTCAACCTCCTCATCCGAAGACCCAAACAAGTCAATCTCATCATCATCATCATCCTCTGCACCGGGAGCGGCAGAAGTGATGGCTTCAGGGATGTAGGAAGAGACATCAGCAGAGGCATCACCGGGAAGGCTGGAGAAGTCGTTCTGGTAGGAGTCGATGTGCTTGTACCATCTTGCGGCGTGGGGGTACTTGTTTGCGTCGGGCGCTACCGAGAGTGCCTTGTAGGTGATAACGTCGGCTTGGGATGGAGCGTAACCAACGATGTAGCTTCTTGTCTCGAGCCTGCCGTTCAGGTCTTTGATTTTACAATTCCTGTCAGTCGGTTTCAGACCGATCACTCGTGGCATGGTAGGTAGGAGAAAACTAACCGGTCAAACGAGCCTCAGTAAAACCCATTGTATGTGATTTATTTATTTATCAAAGGATAAAAAAAAAGGGACTTGTGTAGGGTGAGACGGAAAAAGGAAGGAAGAGGTCTTGTAGCAAGTAAGATGGATTCGTTGAGAATTTTGGGACAAGAGGTTTTCCCTTTGAGTTTCGTGAAAGGAGAGGGAGAGAAGAGGGGCACTTGTACTGTACTTCTCCAAGATGGTGGGGTGATGGGGAGGGCTGAATGATTTGTTTTTTTTTTGAATTTTTTTTTTTTCCAAGAGCTAGTTGCAGCGGGAGGGTTAGGGTCCGGTATCAAAAAGGCCTGGTGGGTACTAGTATAGTCATGCTTTTTCACTCTTATCCTGGTCATCTGTCGGATTTGGCACTGTAGAGCCTAGATTGGGTATGATAGTTTGACTAGGAGTTGAACTGTTTGCTAAGGCCCCTCTACATTAGGCGGCCTCTGAGTGTACTGTACGGTAATCCAAGCCTTCAATGTGCTAGTACTCGTACATTGCCGGCATCTAAAGTGATCATCAGCGGTCACCCGGACTTCAAATCTCAGTGACTGGTTTCTTTCAAAACGAAGTCATTGCAGTTGGGCGATGAAGCTCCTGATCCCGCCTCTTGGGAAGGCTCCTGAGGCACTGGTATGAGGCAGTCAGGGAAGGTAACAGTACGGCCCTGTTCGTAGTCCCGTACCATCCCAAGTGCCACGAGCACTTGGAAATGCTCCGCCAGCCCCCCCCTCCTCTTCCGACCCCCGGCAACGAGCCGATTCTGACAAGCGCTTACAATCCCCTTAGAAGCATATCAGGAAACAGTCATCGGCGAGGCTCTGGTCACTCTGTTGTTAAATTAATAGGTACTGCTCCTGGGATATGAGAACTCTAGGGACGCGGTCGGACAGTGCATGGTAACATATGACGCTCGCGGATTTCACTCCCAAAGCACCGAACCTTGGCCCCGGGATTCCAGATGGCCTTCAAATTCGCATGTGTAATAACGATGAAAGAGGTGAAGTCTAACCCACAGGTTCTCAGTTGCTCGTAGGCTCTGCAAAAGGTGGCTGAGAAAAAGGCAAAAGACAGGAACCAGGGGACATCCAATGGCCGGTGCTATAGAGCCGCAGGTAACTTAGTCTTCCGAAAAAGTCACAATAACGTTGAGTTGATAGAAAGCTCTGATTCAGCACGTGCATAGCGGCCGTACTGTGCGATCAAACGAGCTGTAGGCAGTCATGATAGTACGTAATGAACCTCCCGGTTAAGATTGGCAGGCCCCCCGCCCCCCCTCCAATCACCCGAAATCACTCGTAAATTATCAGCATGCCAGCGCTCAATCAATGGGATCCGCCTTCGAGCTGCTATATATTCCCCTCAGCCGGGGCGCATCACTATGTATCTACAAAGCCTAGCCATCAATTTCGGCAGTCTCACCGTCCTATGCCACCTCAGCTCCACTTAATACCGAAAAAAAAAAAAAGGCTGGAACAGGTCGACAATCTAAGTTCCCATCTATCGACCAACCCAGTGGAACTGAGAGCGTAAAACAAAACAAAACTATACACTACGGAAAGAAAGCAAGAGAGGGAAAGAAGCAAAACAAGCAAATGCAAACGACCGAACCAAACCAAACCGAACCGGTAACCAACCCCAATCATATATAGCGCGGTAGAATGAAAAAAAATAAAAAATAAAAAAGCCAACCCAAAACTCCATGCCGAACATTAGAGGAAAAAACTAAAACAAGAAAACAAAGGAGAATTGGAGCAATGCATGAATAACCTATGATAAAGGAAAGGAAAAAGGTGCAAGCAATAGGGCATAGTTGTAGAGTGTAACCGCTTTTTTCCACCTTGATTAGAGAAGTAAACGATGCCATGAAAATGCGTTAAAAAGGAAATTGAAAAATGCTGACTCCGCCGCCCGTATAAACATGTATTCTGGGTTTCCACCACTGTTTTCCCCTTTACCGGCTCACGCGGGGGTTAAAGGCACTTTGTACAAGAAAGTGGGGGGAAAGGAAGAACGAGCTCGGGGGTTGTTAATATGAATAGAAATCGTCGTCGAGATCACTGGATATCGAACGGAGGGGGTAAGGCCTTGTAAGGGCCTGTACGGGTCGGCGAATAGCCTCTGCAGGTTCCGGAAAGTTCGAGTGGTACGGGGACTCCTGGTCTTGGTCAAACTTGATAGCTCTGTCAATCTCGACCGACCATCTGCCATTCAATTCGGGGAGATTGGTAAACACCCTTCGTCTCTTGAGCCAGTGCTCTTCCGAAGGGATTTCCGGAACCTGGTGCTGATCCTCCTCCTCCTCTGACACTTCCTCCTTTCCGACCATATTCTCAGACTCCTTCAAGTCCGTGCGCTTTGCCCGCTTCAAAGCACCGAGCATCTTCCACTCCTCCGATTTGGTCCTCGCAATTGACTGACTCTCCAATTGGTGGATATCACTGGTGGCATCGTTGGCCGAACCATACTTATCGCGCACACTATCCCTCCGGCTATGCGTCTGTAGATTGATCGCCCTCATAGCCCTTGCCGTTGGCGGTGGTAATCTCATCCAAGCCGTATCCGTTCTCGTGCCAGGCGGAGCAGAAACAACGGGCGGATGATATTCGTTGACAGGCGGGTGAATCCTAGGCAGTCGTGTAACGGTAACGGTTGTAATCCTCTTCTCCTGGATCTCGGAAAACAGGTTCTCCAGATGCTCGGTATCCGCGCTGTCGGCCGTACTGGGGACGGTGTGAATAGCATTATTTCGGCTGCTGTGAACCCCGGAATCCGGGCTCTGACCACGGGGGGACGAATGCCTTGACGACTGACTGGAGTGATTGTTACGACGAAATAATGACGGACCGTTCTCAATCTCTTCTCCCCAATTGCTCTGGGCATCCCGGCTGGGTTTACGGGGTTTGCTCGAACCACGAAAGCAACTGCACGAGAAAACGTAAAATGCGAGGGCGGATACTAGACGACCACAGCCCTCTGGCATTGCGAGAATTGGACCGATGGAGGGGGGGGGAGTGTTGTGATATAAGTATATGTATGTATGTGTGCGGGGTGCAGTATAAAATATGGGATCACTATGATGGCAGGTGTTGCTTAGGTGGCAGAAATAATAATAAATATATGGCTACACGAGGAACATGGGTGCGAGGGTGGATTTGTAGGTCCGGGATGGAAGGCGGTAGGGCACGGTGAAAGAAAGGTTGCAAGTGCGGGTGACGGATAGTAGGGTAGGCGAGCTAGGTCAAGATGAGATGAGAAGAATGGCATCAAGTTGATTCGAGGAGTAAAAAGGCGAGAGACAAGGGAACGTCAAAGGTGGTGGTGGTAGCAGAGTTCTGTAAGTTAGCAGGCGAGAGGGAACAACTGTTCGAGCCAAGGTCGCTCGTGCGGTTGAACCGGGGTGCTGTTGTAGTAGTTGCAGTTGTTGTTGTTTCAGGTTATGGAAAGATGAGCTCGAAGAATGCCGGGAAATTGCTAGCTATCCTCTTTGTGACCATGGGGGCTTAGTACTCGTACAGTACCGTATTGTGAACCAGCGGCTGGATTCCTCCTCCTCCCACAAGACCCCTATAGCGTGGCGGGAGAAACGGAAGGGGGTAGGGAGGGGTAAAGAGGAGAGAGGCGGAGGGAGAGAGGCAGAGGGAGAGAGGGAGGGAGGGAGAGAGGGGGAAGGGAGAGATAAAAGACGATTGTCAAGAATTGTATTTTGTTCAATCGGCGTCATCAATGGTGGGGGGAGGGATGTTTATGAGGGTTTAGTTTTGAGTGCTGAGTGGGGTGATGGTAATAATGTTGGGGGAAGATTTGTTTTTTTTTGGCCTAGAAGTCTTAAGGCTAATACCGGTGGGTCACATACCGGTACGGGGCGATATCATACCGTGCTTGGTTGCGGCAAGTAGCCAAAGTCAACTATAATACAACTCATTCCTATTCTACTCAGTAGGGCACGGTACCGAACTCGTAGCAGTTGCGTTTGTGGAGGAAGCAGAAGGGGAAAAAGAAATCGGATGCTTGAGGAAACCTAAGCAAAATGCACGTCTCTGCGAGCAAAGTTAAAACCTGCATAAGCAATACAGGTACTCGAAGAGGGGGAGAGAGAGGGAGGGAGGGGGGGAGGGGGCCATAGAAGTAGCAAGCGGGCATGCTGTATCACCATATTATTATCATACAGCTGCCAATCAAAGGGTGGCTGGCGAGCAGGTAGAGTACTCGTAGGGGTAGGTCGTCCTTCTTCGAATCTGGGTCAACCAATGACGGGTATCCATATGGTGCACCCACACGGAGAGCAATTTTGTCAGTCAAAAAACCACTCAACAAACACGTCCAGCCTCCCCACCACACCGTATCACACGGCGGGTACAGCACCTACTTGTATATGGTGCCGGTGTGATGATACTCTACGACCACCCGTATGATAGGATACAGTACGAGGACAGTGTTCTTGTAGCCCTACACCGTTGAGCCTCAACCTTCAAAGTGTCACGTTGCATTTCACCTCACGAGAGCTTCCAGGTAGTCCGAACCATACCAAGTCAGGCGTACTCGAGTGTATACGAGTCGACAACGACGACCCTCGCCCGCAGTTCGGTGAACAGCGTGGAGTTCCCGACGCAGACGCCTCGCGCGCGCGCCCAGGTTGAATTTTTACAATAAGGCTGAAACGGGTTGTCAAAAACGATGATCCCAGTCCATTGTCTCACTCTGAGGGAAAAAAAAGGGAAAATGGTGATCCCAGTTCACCTTACAGTACGAGTACTGTACATGTACCACCAAAGTGTGGGGGAAATGCCAGCAGGGTGTGTGTTGGGAGTGCCTGGTGTGTGATGTGAAATGGGAAACGCGCAGCACTCGTACAAGGTACCGGTAGATCCTGTCACAACTCGAGTATGCTTCATCTAAGTTAACCGTAAGCAACTCGGATGGTGAAGATCTTGGTGGACACTGCAATGGCTATCTGGGGTGCCGGCGGTCCAGGAAGAAAAGGGCGACAAGCGCAAGAAGATCCCCCCGGCGTCATGTACGAGTACTGCACAGATCCACACAGCACCGTACCGGTACTGTATCATACTCGAGTACCGTACCCTACCTGTACCCTACATGCCAACCCATGATATCATACGGGTATCGTGCGGATTTCAGTCCTCCTCTCTTCGTTCCCGGAACCCCCAGTCCACGGTAGAGCTGGTAGCACGGCACGGATACGGGTGCATTCACCAACGATCAAGAACCCCCACAAAACAAACAGTCCGAGGACTCCTTCCCCCCTCTGCCCTTCCCCTCCCTTCAATCCCCGAACCCAGCACCTCTCGCAAGTATCATACTGGCACAGTGCCATAAGTTGAGAAATCCGAGCGATTTATTCCACCAAAAGAATTAGCCATCCTCGAAATTATTACTGTTATTATTATTCCGCCTTCGTATCGTACGGTACTTGTGATGACTACAGTAGCTTACGATCCAAGAACCGTCAGTGTTGTACGGGTAGTAGGCGAGCAGCCTGCCAAACACCGCTCGTTACCTTGCGGGACTTCTTTTTTCTTCTTTTTTCTTACTTCAAACGGTGCCGCCGGGGTTCAAGTTCGCCCTCCAACCAGTTTTGTTTTGAGCACGCGACCAATCCGGCTGTCTCGTATCGTATTGTCTCGTAGGGCGTTTTTTGATTAGGTTAAGGGAAAGAAAGAGGGGGACACGTCATCCGCAGGTGTATGCCTACCGAGGCGCCCATCTATCTTTCAAATATTTCTTTCTCTTGCTGGCACTTTCGCACGAACTGCTGGCAGGCTGAGTGGGAGAAGAGGTATGAGGGGTGGGCAAGACTCTGGAGCGGGAGAGATTTTGAATCGCACTGAAGGGGGAACAAGGCGATTGAGGTTGTCGAGTATGGCAGAGGGGGGTTACGGATGAATTGTATTGATGGATCGGATGCACTGTAGAGTACGAGTACCGCTGCGGTACTGTACATATGTGCGCACAATAGACTACCGTAGAAATTCAACCAACGCCAGAGCCGGATTACTCATACAGAATGGAGAAACAACCTTTCGGCCTGGGCGGGCACCAGCCGGGCCCGCCGCTAGTTACGATAGTCTAAGTATTGTAAAGGGAAAGAAAGAAAGGAAGAGAGAAAGAAAAAGAAAAACCGAGCATAGCCCATCTCAACCCATCCGTCTATCCGGTCACGCCTCCCCCATCGTTCCTGCATCATATCGTGCCCGGAAGACCTGCCCACCCACCCACCTACCATACCTACCCAGAGCTCTCGTCTTCCCCCTCCCCTTCCTCCTCGTCCTCACTCGACCACCTAGCTGCCCTCTTCCCCCTTCCCTCCCGACGCTTCCCACTACCACTGCCAACCAAAAACGGCGAATCCTCATCCTCCTCTTCGAGTATCGTGGGTATAGCCTGCGGGAAAAGCACCCTCGCGGGCATCTTCGTATCGACCGTACCTGTAGCGGTGGTAGTAATAGTACGCCCCGTCGTACCCCTGATTCGCCCATTTTTGAGTCTTGTTTGCCCCGGTCTGGGTGCGACGGGCTCGTCGCAGAAGTCCAGAGTGTCGGTGAGGAAGTAGCTTGCCAGGCCCAGGATTGCGCCTGTAGATATTCCTATTGGGTTGGTTAGTCTGTTGTTTTCCCGTTTTAAGAGGGGAAGGGGGAATTGCCGATGACCGCTGCAACGCCGCAGAAGATGTATAATTCCTGTTAATGTGTATCCATCACCAATTCAGTCCATCCATCCATCCACCCCCTCCTGCATGCCCGGGATCTAAATACGATAGGACGGACGGGGTAGCGAGGGAACATGGAGGTGGAGTAAAAACCTGCAACCGCGAAAACACCACAAACGGCAAACTCAGCATGCCAAATACCAAGCTGGTCAAGTAATTCCCGATGATAATCACCGGTAAAAACACCCCTATCACAAGCCTGAGTATGAATAGTGCTGGCGAGAGCAGCAGCAGGCGGCTCATGCTTGTTAGTATGCGCAATAGGTCCATAGCGCCACCTAGGGGGGGTAGGTAGGAGTGTGGGTGGAAAGGGTGGGGCTGATGCGATAAGAGTTGAAGTGTGTGTGTGTGCGTGTGTGTGCGTATCTTTGCTTCTGGCTGTTTTTCTTAATTTTATATATATATATTTTTTATCTTTATTTACCATCAGGATATCGTGGTGGTGATTGTGGTGGTGGTGGTTGTGGTGCTAAGTTGAAGCTTTGCTGTTGGCGGAAAAATGTATGATGATCTCATTCCCAGATGAGACGCATGGGCCCCCTTACGGGTGGACCCGCTCGCCGATGATAGCATCATTTTAGGAGTGGTTGAAGCCGGGTTCTGGGTAACTTGCTGCTATCTTGGGCTTCACACAATCAGTAGGGGTACCATGCATGGGTGAATCGGAGTTCATGACTTTGGCGATAACCATCGCGTTCTTGAACCCACCATAATATCGGTGGAAACATCTAATTCTATTTTTATCTTTATTTCTTTCTTCTTTCGTTCCTTCTTCCTCCTCCCTCCTCCTCCACTTTCCTCCACTTTCCCTCGTACCAGAACGGGAGTGACATCGGTTGGCACGATAATACGCCCCGCTGTGGCACCGCAGCCGCTACTCGCGGTCCAGTTGGGGAGCCCAGTCCACTGCCCTGTATGAGTACTTACTCGTGCCAAGGTTGTGACTAATCGTCACAACCCCGGCTGCTCGGTCGCAACCGGGGGTACTCTAAAGAGTGCCTGTCAGCTCAACATGACTTGACAGCTCAACATGACATGTGGCTCAACACAACTTTTTTGTGGCTCAACATGACTTCTTGTGGCTCGACACAACATTGTGATTCAATATAGCTTTATTGATTGGTACAACTTTAACCATGTAGCTCAATAGAGCTTGGTGGTTCAATTTAATCTTGTAGTTCAATAGAGTCTTATAATTCAATTAAACTTTAAAGCTCAATGGAGCCTTATAGTTCAATCAAACATTGAAGCTCAATGGAGCTTTATGGTTCAATTAAACCTTGAAGCTCAATGGAGTCTTATAGTTCATTAAATATTGAAGCTCAACAGAGTTTTATAGTTCAATTAAATGTTAAAGCTCAATGGAACCTTATATTTCAATTAAATCTCATAGCTCAACTTGAATAGCACTTGATAGTTCAATTAAGTCTTGTAGTTCAATAACATATTACCATTAAGCCTCATTGTAATTGTATAAGTGAAAATTGTATATAAATCCTATTGTAGAGAATATTTTATTTTGTATTTACTTGTATAAAAATCAGACTTCAGATTCTATAACTTACAAGTACTTACAAACTTTCTTTTCAAATATATTCTACTCAATATCAGTCAAGTTAGTATCTCTCCAAAGCTCAGCTCTAATTTCCTTCTACAAAGTACATTTCCTATTATCTCTCTTCAAACATACCTCCAATACATCCAATTATACTTCCTAGTCAATGCATTGAATCTTATAAGGATATTAAGATCAGAATCTAGGCTGCCCTTGCATCTCTTGATGGATTAGAAGCAGAGATATCAAACCTCATGGCTTTAGCTCGCAAATATGAAATACCAGTATTATGACTTGGTGCACGCTGGTAAGGGGTTCCATTCAAGCAAGATCAGGAGGCCACCAATCAAAAACTTACTGAAGACAAAGAATTTGCAGTATATTAATATCTCGATCATCTTGATGCTGTTGGAACCAGTGCATGTCTTTCCATGGTGTCAGGTTGTATAAATATAATTCTTCAACATAGTCATATTAGTCCATTACCAGCTCCTGTTGTTGGTGACTATTAAGTACAGCATTTTCTTGCTCGACATCCTAAATACTCCATTTGAAAACAACATACTGTCGATACTAACAGAAAGAATGCTTATCAGGCAGCTGAAATTTGTGACTGGTTTGAACAATATAAGGCAATTTGTATGAGATATAATATTGAGGAATGTGATCAGTACAACTTTGATGAAACTGGATTCTTTATTGGAAGTGGATAAGATTAGTGGATTATTACACAAGATCCTTCATGACAGTCGTACCTTGGGAGTTCAACCAATTGGGAACTTGTTTCAGTTTGTGAAACAATTAGTGGTAATGGTAGTGTCCTCCCACCCTTGATTATTATTCCAGGTGTTATTCACCAAGAATCCTGGTATACAGCTACAAGTATACCAGACAATTATCTTATAGGAACATCAGAGACTGGCTACAGCAATGATGAATTATTAATGAACCGGTTAGCACATTTCCAAGTATTTTCTGAGCCGCGGAGGATTGAAGTTTACAGGCTCTTCCTGCTTGATAGATTTGGCTCCTACTGCACTAAGCAGTTTATTGATTACTGTGATAATCATGAGATTATTGTATTCTGCCTGCGTCCTCATACAAGCTACCTACTACAACTACTTGATGTTGTTGTATTTCTGTTAAGAATCCTACCGGGCGCTGAGGTGCGACAGGTAATGATTTTTAATTCATAGTGAGGTAATAGTTCTTAGGCTGATGCCTATGTGATACAGATAGTCAAGTCCTTTTGACTTCTATCTTATCGCGCCTATTCCTCTAATCTTCTTAAGTCCTCACTTAGGACTTATTCGTTTGACGTGGGACTAGAAATAGTTTTCTTGCTTGGGAGGAAAGACAATTCTTGGGTTTCTTAAGATAAATCTTAAAGAGCGTAAGGGTAGGTTTTATTGTAATAACTTAAAGATAGGAAATAAACAAGAAGAATGTGTGAAGAGCTAATACTCGGAGTCCTAGTGACCCTTTATATAGTAGCTCTTCACCTGGTGTGACTTATACTTCTCATCATGTGAACTCTGTGACTCATAACTATGAGTCATGTGAAATTCATCGGCTGACTCCTATAAGTCGCTGCGTAATATACCTAAAACCAATCAAAACATAATAAGCAAGTCAGGTGCACAACTTGCGTCACCTGAGTGAAACCCATGACTCATACATTGAGTCATATGCAAAAGTCATAACATCGTATGACTCACAACTGTGAGTCACGAACAGGTAAACGTAATAACCTATGGTGCACTAGTGTGCATCATGTAAAATCCCAACATACCTATAGCTCGAAATTCTGGGCTATGTGAAATCTGCCTTGCTTTGTCACAGTTTGTACCAATTTCAGCCACATAAGCATTACCATGCTGAGGTTGTTAAGGCTGCAACCTATACTGGAAGTAGTGAATTCAATAAATTGGAGTTACCTGATATAATCAACTCTATTTGGCAACAGATATTCAAACTCTCAACAATCTGGTCAGTATTTAAGGCCACTGGACTGATTCTTTACAATTTCAATATTGTAATCTCCAAGCTACACAAAGCTGTAACTCATCTACCTCTACCACATACTCTACTACATCAATCCTTACTAACAGTTCTACAGATGGTCAGAAGTTTGAGATGAATGGGAGAAGAGCTGCAGCGTAATGCAAGAGATTTGTTACCAACTGTCAGAAACCATGACTAAGCAAGGCAGATTTTATATAGCTTAGGATTCTGAGCTATAGGTATGTTGGGATTTCACATGACGTATATTAATACGCCATAGGTTATTATGTTTACCTGTTCGAGACTCACAGTTGTGAGTCACACAATGTTATGATTTTCATGTATGATTCAGGTTATGAGTCACGGGTTCTACTCAGGTGACGCAAGTTGTGCACCTGACTTGGTTATTGAGTTCTGATTGGTTTTAAGTATGTTACACAGCAACTCTTAGGAGTCAGCAGAGGAATTTTACATGACTCATGGTTATGAGTTAGAGGGCTTACGTGATGCGAGGTAAAGAGCAACTATATAAAGGGGTTATTAGGATACCAAGTATAAGCTCTTCATAAATTCTTCTGGTTTATTTCCTACACCTAATATTTTATAAGAAAATACCTTTACACTCTTTACTTCACTTAAGAACCTGAAAACTATCTTTCCTCCCATGACACAAGATTGAGGCCTAAGAGAGGACTTCAGAAGATAGAAGGAATAGTTGCTATATCATAGAAGTTAAAAGGACTTAGCCATCCATATAGCATAGGCAATAGCCTAAGAACTATTTCCTTATTGCAAGATAAGAATTATTACCTGTCGCAGTCATCTGCCGGGTAGGATTCTTAACATTAGAACGTGTCTACAATATAATACCTAATGATTATACCATGGCCTCCTTCAACCCAAATGGTTAAGGAGATTTGGATATACAAGACGAGAGTCTAGGACTAGAAGGACTTCATGAAGCCCTAAGTGAAGCAAGTCAATACTCGCCTGGAACTGCAAGTCCAGTTAGACTAGACCTGATCACACTCCTAGTAGGGCCCCCACCTGCAGGACTAGCGCTTACTCTAATGAGCCCACAGAAACAGGTGAAACAAATAATATGAGAAGCTCTGAGAGAAGGAGGACAAAAATCAAAGATCAAGACACCTCCAAGATATGATAGAAAAAGATACAGACTCTGAGGATTCATGGTCTAACTACTTACCTACTTTGATGCAGTAGGATGGACACAGGGAAACGATGAAGATAAAATATGATACACCTTGACCTTGCTAGAAGGGGCAGCATTACAGTGGATGACACCCATTGTGGTGGTACAAACAACACTACCATAGACCGATTAGAGCAGTTTCTAGGCCATATTTGAGGCCTAGTTCACAGACTTAGAACTAAGTTAATCTGTATGCAACAAACTTGAAGACATCAAATAAGGAGAAAGGAACATCACCGACTACTGGTACCAGTTCAGGCTACTCCAGTACAATATGGAATACGATGAAGCCTCAGCAATAAGGTGGTTCCTGAAGGGATTGAAAAAGACATTCCAAGAGGCCTAGAGATTTAGTGAAGAAAGATTCGCAACTACTCAAGCCAAGACACATTGGGCTATACGCAACGAAATCCAATTTGGTCAATTAGACTAGATTCAAAAGAACTATTCAAATACGATGAATCCAAGAAACACAAGTTTACAAAACTGAAATGGAACATTTAGAACCACCACCTAAGGAGCAGATGCAATAGACCTGGACACAAGCAGGAAAAGGCCTTTACTAAACCGTGTAAAAGAAGAATACCTGCGACGACAAAACAACAACCT